TGGGACGTACCGTTTAATTCTCGACAGTGGATTTCATTTGGACTTATGTGAAACTCTTTATGTCCCTTGTATATTTAGGAATTTAGTTTCAATTTTCAAACTTTTAAATTTGGTAGTGGTAGTTTCAGTTTGTACAAGCACAATCATTTGATTGGCAATGATACTTTATGTGATGGATTATATAAATTATGCCTTGATAATCTTTATGCTGAAATGCTTATGACTCTGCATCATAATGTTGGTACTAAATGTGCCTTAATTAATGAATGTTCTGCTTACTTGTGGCACAAACGTTTGGGACACATTTCCAAGAAAGAATGAAAAGATTGGTGAAGAATGAAATCATTCCGGATTTAGATTTTACTGTTTTAAATGTTTGTGTGGATTGTATTAAAGGAAACAAACAAAACACACAAAGAAAGAAGCCACAAGAAGCACTCAGCTTCTTGAAATTATACACACTGATGTATGTGGTCCGTTTGATGTTAATGCCTCCAATAAAGAAAAATACTTTATCACCTTCATTGATGATTATTCACGTTATGGTTATCTTTATTTGCTGTATGATAAGTCTCAACCTGCAAATGCTTTAGAGATTTATATTAATGAAGTTGAAAGGCAATTAGACATAAAGATGAAAATTGTCAGGTTTGATAGGGGTGGCAAATATTATGGAAGGTATGATGAAAGTGGACAACATCCGGGCCCATCTGCTAAATTTCTAGAAAAGCGTGGTATTTGTGCTCAATACACAATGCCCGGTACACCACAACATAATGGTGTATCAGAAAGGCGTAATAGGAGTATGTTAAGCAATTCTTCTTTACCCATTTCATTGTGGACTTATGCTCTAAAAACTGCCATGTATGTATTGAATAGGGTTCCTAGTAAGCCAGTTCCAAAGACTCCTTTTGAACTTTGGACTGGAAGGAAACCTAGTATAAGACACCTACATGTTTGGGGTTGTCATGCAGAGATTAGATACTACAATTCGCAAGAAAAGAAACTGGATGCAAGGACAATCAGTGGTTATTTCCTTGGTTATCCAGAAAAATCGAAAGGGTATAGATTTTACTGTCCTTATCATACTACGAGAATTATTGAATCTGGAAATGCAAGATTCATTGAGAGTGGTGAAGTTAGTGGGAGTGAAATACCACGTAAAGTGGATATTCATGAAGTGAGAATACAAGTTCCATTGACTTGTAGCTCTAACAAAGTCGTTGTTCCTCATGTTATTGAACCAATCAATAATAATGAAGGACGAGTTAATGATCCCACTACTCATGAGGAAATTATCGTTAATGAACCAAATGAACCCATAGTAGAAGAACCACAACAAATAGCATTAAGAAGATCTCAAAGAGAAAGGAGATCTGTTATTTCTAATGATTATGTGGTATATCTACAAGAGTCTAAATTTGACATGGGTGTTCAGGATGATCCAGTAACGTTTTCACAAGCCATGAATGGTGATAAGTGGTTAGATGTCATGAAAGATGAGTTGAAATCTATGGAACAGAATGAGGTTTGGGATCTTGTTGAGTTACTAGAAGGGTGCAAGAGAGTTGGTTGTAAATGGGTCTTTAAGCCCAAACGTGACTTTAGGGGTAACTTGGAACGTCACAGGGCCAGACTAGTTGCAAAAGGATTCACTCAGAAAGATGGCATTGATTATAAAGAAACTTTTTCACCAGTTTCAAAGAAGGATTCTCTAAGAATTATTATGGCATTGATGGCTCATTATGATCTAGAGTTACACCAGATGGATGTGAAAACTGCCTTTCTAAATGGGAATTTAGATGAAGATGTGTACATGGACCAACCAATGGGGTTCATAAAAAAGTGTAAAGAGCACATGGTGTGCAAACTTAAGAAATCAATATACGGACTTAAACAAGCTTCACGACAATGCTACCTTAAGTTTAATGATACCGTTGTTTCCTTTGGATTTAAAGAAAACATTGTTGATCGATGTATATATCTGAAGATCAGTGGGAGCAAGTTTATATTATTGATTCTGTATGTTGATTATATTTTGCTTGCAACTAACGATCTTGGTCTTTTAAATGAGACTAAGAAGTTTCTCTCTAGTAACTTCGAAATGAAAGATATGGGTGAGACAGCTTATGTGATAGGAATAGAAATATTTCGTGATAGATCGCAAGGACTGTTAGGTTTGTCTCAGAAAGCATACATTAATAAAGTTTTAGTGAGATTCAGAATGGAAAACTACTCATCATCTCCAGTTCCAATTCAGAAAGGAGATAAGTTTAGTCTCATGCAATATCCCAAAAATGAATTGGAACGAAAAGAAATGGAAGCAATTCCGTATGCATCATTAGTTGGGAGCTTAATGTATGCTCAGACTTGTACGAGACCAGATATTAGCTTTGCAGTTGGGATGTTGGGAAGATACCAAAGTAATCCCGGTATGGATCATTGGAAAGCTGCAAAGAAAGTTCTGAGATATTTGCAAGGAACTAAAGGTCACATGCTTACTTATAGAAAGTCTAACGACCTTGAAGTGATTAGATACACAGATTAGGATTTTGCAAGATGCGTAGACACAAGAAAGTCTACCATTGGTTACCTGTATCTTTTAGCTGAAGGAGCTATATCATGGAAAAATGCGAAGCAGACTGTAATTGCTATGTCCACTATGGAAGCTGAATTTGTGTCATGCTTTGAAGCCACGATTCAGGCTAAATGGCTACGAAACTTTATTTCAGGGCTTGGATTGGTCGACAACATTGAAAAGCCGCTGAAAATTTATTGTGATAATTCCGCAGCAGTCTTCTTTTCTAAAAATGACAAGTATTCCAAAGGTGCTAAACATATGGAATTGAAATACTTTGCCGTTAAAGAAGAGGTTCAGAAACTTAGAGTGTCTATAGAGCATAATAGCACTGATCTTATGATAGCTGATCCCTTGACGAAAGAATTACCGCCCAAGACGTTTACTGGTCATGTATGTAGAATGGGCATTATGTCAGCTAGTGAATGATGATACTTATTGTTATTTATTAATTGTTGACACTCTGAGCTCATTGATGAATATATGTTTCTGATATTGTCTTGTTTTCAATTTATGTATGCATGCAAGTATATGTGATGATATTGAAAATATTTATGGTCCATAATGAAGACATTATTGTTGGACATAATGTGTACTTCCTATTAGAGTATCATGTTAGGAAGAAGAGTCAATATAGTGGTACATGGAAAAGACTATGCCGACTTGATAGTATAGAACCGCCATGACTCATGTTGATTTCATTTCTAATAATGAATTATGATGAGGTCAATGTATGGAACCTTTAGCCTAGTAAATGCACATTATAATGAATGTTGATTAAATCATGAAGGGACACCTCATGACATGAGCCAAGTGGGAGAATGTAAAACTATTTGTCTCATGTATAATATTAAGTGTCATTTGATTTAATTAATAAAAGGGCATAATGGTAATTGATTGTTAAGGGAAGTTACTTAAAGGTGTAACTGTTGATAGGTGCAGTTATAAAAAGGATAATGGACAGTTTTCTGATATTGGTGTCTGAGAGAAACTGACGTCCATCTGGGTCTGCCCATGAGAGTTGTATCCTATCCCTATCAGAAGAAGATACAAGAACAGAAAAGGGTCAAGACTCTGAAAAAGTATTCCACTGTTAAAGATTTTTCGCATTAATGGACAAAGGTATGTTTATGTGAAACTCATAAATTCTAAAGATCCTCTTTCATGTTCTTGATGTGATTGTTGTTGAACATGAATTAATGATTAATGCTTACATAAAGTTGGCACGACTATTAAGCAAATTATACTTAAGAAGTAAACGATTGAGGTTGAAAGCAATGTTAATAAAATTGGTCTGGTCTAGTCGGATCGACTCGGGAATTGGTAAATTGGTCATATAATTGACCCGGGTAAGCAATGGACCGGCCATACATCAGAATCGGTGTGATCCAGCCAATTTTTGTGAAAATTGGTGACCCGTCAGTTAACAGGTGACCCGGCCCGATACAAAAAAAATCATAATAGACATATTTGAGTATTTTTTATTGACTTACATATGTTATGTACCTACAACACTAATATTATCTCAATTATGCATTATACAAAAAAAATTGATTTGATTTATAATTAGAAATGTCGTTTACTAAACCTGAAGCCCTGTATCACAATCATTATATTTTTGTTTGATTCTTCATTGGATAATAATGTGTGATTTATTATTTTTTATATTAAAATATTTGAAATTTTTATCATTTTTTTACATATTTGAGTATGTTTATACTTGTTTAATATAAATTATAAAATTACATATAATTATCACGTGATGCGGTTCAACAGTGATTCACTGATAGAATCAATAGCTTAGTAATCTAGTAAATTGACCATGTCAATCAACGATTTTAATTATGATTCGATTCATATAAACAATTTTTTTTTAATAAATAGAATAAGTAATTTAAATGTAGTGACAAAAACGAAACGCTAATCCCAAAGAAACCCTAATTGAGACAGACTCCTATCACTTTCAGTTGTACTTGCAAAAAATAACACGTAACATGCATATCCTAAGGCAGTGTTTGGGAAGCCGTTCAACTTACCTAAAAGCTCAAAGCCGAAATCACCATTCACCTCAAACGCATCCTTTAAAAGCAGATTCCTTTCTATTTTCCAATGTGCCCCACACCCTTTTCCCTTTATGCTATTCCATTTTTCCCAATAATGTATCATAAAGCCAGGAACACCCAAACAGAGTGCTAGCTCCAAATTGTTCTCACCATTTTGAGAGAGAGAGAAAGACAGAGAGAGAGAGAGAGAGAGAGAGAGAGAGAGAGACAGATTAGGCCATGGCTACTGAAAACGTTGTTGTGAAGAGGCAAAGAGATGAAGAAGAAAATGGGGTCTCTGTTTCCACTGTTTCCATGGATATAGAAGGTGGCAAGGACCCAAATTGTAATGGTATATCATCTGTGATTTCTGGGTGGTTCTCTGAAATTAGCCCAATGTGGCCTGGTTAGTTCTATTTCTCCATACCCTTTTGCCTTATGCTTCCAAAAGTTGTGCCTTTTTTTGTTGTGTTTGGTTGCTGGGAAAGGAAATTAAAAAACGTTTAAACTTGTTTGTTTGTTTATTTGTATGGCTATGGAAAACTTGTAACTTGTGGGGTTTGTCTCTGTGTGAAGAGATTTGGATTTGGTTATCTATTTTGATTTTATGGTTCAGGTGTCTTTTCTTTGATTTTTGTCAAAATTTCTTCGTTTTTCGCTCGCGATTCTGAAGTTGATGTCTGATGAATTCTGTTTCTGTTTTTTAACTTTTATTTTACAAAGGCCATGTTCGTTAATTTATCCCTGGCAGGTACCTGCACGTGTGTACACATGTATGTAGCAAGCTTTTTACAATTGCTTTCACGGAGTAATTGATTTTGTTATGGTTGTTATTTATAACTGATTATTTATAACTTTTTATTTTCCACATCTTATATGCCTGCATGATTTGTTGAGCTTGATGTTGTGTGTTTTTATTTTGACATCTGAACATGTTGTAGTTTAGTTCACTGTCGTGCTTAGCCGATTCTGGTTCAATTTTAAGACCCAAAATGGATCATCTGTAAAGAGTGTAATAAGAATATGAAATTTCACTTCCAAATGTGTTGGAAGAATTCCCATTAGAAGTTGAGTTTCTATTAAACATCCTTTGTCCCTATCTATCAATGGTCTTGCCTCTGCGGGGTTTGCTCTACTTAATGTGGCTTCTCTCAGATCTTCAGGTATTTGGTTTCAAACAAAATGAAAGATGGTTGCTTAGAAAAAAATATTCTGGTCAAATAATTGTGATGCATGGTCATTTGCATAAATGGGCCTGTAAATAGAAAGGCATGCACAAGAACAAATACTTCATAATTTTAAATTGGCAGTTGTCATATGCTATCACAGAGAGGATATAATCTTTTTGTCCTTTCAAGGCTTGCTTTTCTTCTCCTTTTAGTCGTACATCACCTGTTATATTTTTTGCGATTGAACCTGCCCCGTTCTTTTGCTCTGCCCCACCCGTTTCCTGAATTCATGAGAAGTCAGGGTTACTTTTAGATAACTAAGATGCATTTGGTATCACACCTATTTTTGCCAGTAAAAACTGCATGCATACCAATGAAAGAAAAAATAATCTTTCCAATTTTCTTATATTCTTTTGTGTGCGATGTGATGTCAATCCTATGATGATTGCATTTGATCTGGTTGTTTAGTTACATATATTTTTGGTGGAAGATACATCTTGTTTATCACTAACAAAAGTAGGTCTTCAAATTATTTTTATCTGCAATGAATATCTTTGTGTACATCTTATGGCATTAATTTTTACAAAAACCAAAGCATTGCTAAAATTCTAGAAATATTTGCACATAGTAATATTTTTTTTCCTTTTCAATAAAACTCAAGAAATTGTGGTTTTATCTTTTGTAGTAACAATCATGAATTAAAATCTGGTTGTAATTTTGCAGGAGAGGCTCACTCCTTGAAGGTAGAAGAGATTTTGTTTCAAGGAAAGTCTGAATACCAGAATATCTTGGTCTTCCAGGTACACAAGGGTCCAGTAAAATTTTAAGTTACTATTACATTTTCCCTTTTTCATGCTCCTATTGATATTTTCAATGCAATGTGTTAATGTCTTTTGCAGTCATCAACATATGGGAAAGTTCTTATTTTGGATGGAGTCATTCAGCTCACAGAAAGGGACGAATGTGCCTACCAAGAAATGATCACTCATCTTCCTCTTTGCTCTATTCCAAATCCCAAAAAGGTCTTCGATTCTTCTATGCTTCCTGGAAATTTTGGTATATGTCTAGGTTGCATGTTTAGTCACCAAATGTATGTACTTTTTCTCACTGTAATTTTCTTTTCTAGGTTTTGGTTATTGGTGGGGGTGATGGAGGGGTCCTGCGTGAAGTATCACGCCATTCTTCAGTTGAAAAGATAGACATTTGTGAAATTGACAAGATGGTTGTTGATGTAAGGCACACAAAATTTTACTCTCTTCTTTCCTGTCTCTAACCAAAGCTAAATTATGTTGCTGCAGCCTATTATTTTGCTCTTATATATTTAGTTCTCTCTCTGTCCCCCTAGTACTTCTTGATTTGTGAGAGTTTTTCTGCTTAAGGAAATTGGTTATTGCTGTTTTGTTCTTTTCCCGTTGGCCTAAAAAATCTACTCTCTATGCTCAAAGACTTCTAGTAGCAATATATGCTTAATATCGAAATCTAAGTCCTCATCCTTTGCAGGTCTCCAAACAATTTTTCCCTGATGTAGCGGTAGGGTTTGAGGATCCACGTGTGACACTTCAAATAGGCGATGGTATGAGCAGCTATTCTAATTTCTCTCCTTTAATATTTTCCTCTTTTTCGAGAAGTTTATTTCATGATGACTTTTCTCACAATGGTCTAGGAGTTGCATTTTTGAAGGAAGCTCCAGAAGGAACTTATGATGCAGTTATAGTTGATTCATCTGACCCTATTGGTATGTTATTGTAATACATTCTAGTTTTTCTGGTCTACTTCGTGGTATAAAATTGTTTTGTTTACATATGGTATCCTTAAGGTCCTGCTCAGGAGCTTTTTGAAAAGCCCTTTTTTGAGTCGGTTGCAAAGGCTCTTCGCCCAGGAGGAGTTGTGTGTACTCAGGCAGAAAGTATATGGCTTCATATGGATATAATTGAGAACATTGTGGCCAATTGTCGTCAAATTTTCAAAGGCTCTGTCAACTATGCTTGGACTACAGTTCCTACATACCCAAGGTATGTTTTACAATTTATTTATTTATTTTGTCCATTTTTCCTATTTTAATTCTGCAAGACGAACTCCTATGTATTTGATTACATGTTCTCGGTATATGAATTCTGCCAGAAAATGGTCATTTCAAATTGAAATCCCTCAAGCATTATGCCAATGCTCCAGGCTTTTTATCTTTTTCTCTTTACATCCTCTAGGAGGACATGTTGTGGGTTGTACATGACAATATTTTGTTACATTATGAGCTTTTTGTGTTGGGAGGGTGAGAATGTTTATGATTATCCATGTTTATGTTGCTTTCATTTTTTTTCATTTCAGTGGGATGATTGGTTTTATGCTTTGCTCAACTGAGGGACCTCCTGTTGATTTCAAGCATCCAGTGAATCCCATAGATGAAAAAGAGTGTCAGAAGTCAGTAAGACCTCTGAAATTTTACAACTCTGAGGTATGCTGTTCCAACCATCTTTGCATCCCCTTCCCCTTGCTCTTATATATAGTAATTACTATATAATTATAAAACTATAACTCCCCATTAAACCCCGATTAGCGAGGGTGGGACGAGAGCAATCCTTGTAGGCAGTCTTACCCTTGCATATTTGTAAAGAAGTTGTTTCCCGGATTCAAACGTTTGACCTTTCAATCACGAAGGAGTAACTTTACCAGCTTGCCCTCTTTTAATTATTATATAATTAGAGAGTTTAATATTTCATAACCTAAATAAAAACCCAAATTAAATGAAAAATAATACAATAAGAAAAAAGAAAAAGAAAAAGAAAAACATATAAAATAGAGCATGTTGATTATATTGAAAGGGCAACACTCCCCTGCATTGGGGCAGGGTTTTTTTACTCCAGTTGATTTTTCAGTACTGCTAATTCTTGTCTTTAACTCTTGGCTTCTGTCTATGTTTGCCTTTAATTCCAGATTCATACAGCATCTTTCTGTTTGCCATCGTTTGCGAAGAGGAAGATTGGTTCTAGCGCAAATTGAGAAGATTTTCAAGAGCTTGAAGGAGTTCGCTTGGCTGTTTTAGAAGTCCAGCATTCATCCTTATTGGGATTGGTCCACCTATCAATGAACCATGGAATAAGTCAGAGCTTAAATTTGACATTGGAGAGTAACTTTTATTTCAGAAAATGAGTTGTAGGTGATAATGATACTGTTGATGGATTCAGCTATCAGTAACTTTCCTCAGAAATATGATTGACAATGTTTTGCTGTAAGCAAACATTTTTGTTTAATGCAAATGATTGCTTTTTATATGTTTTGAAATTGAAATGCTTTCTTATGATCTTCTGTGTGTCTTGAGTGCATTTGGCGTGATTAGTTTCTATCAAACTAATTGGGGTTGACAGTTAATGAACCCAAATAAAAAGCAAGCAAATCCACTGAACTAATTTTTTATTGATTAGAATGAACAATAGGATTAAAAGTCTAGCAATCCTAAATGGGGTTTAAACGTGATTGCAATTGTAGTCATGAAGCCAAAATTACCTGCTCTATAATCTATCTTTTTCTTCTTATTTTTAACTCTAGAGTGTGAACCAACCCATTCTTATTTATATCTTTTTGTTCATATTACTTGGATAATCTATACATTCATTCACCCGGGAAGCGCTGATAAAAGCTGCTTAAGCTGCTTGACATCTTGCATCGAAACTGATTAATCACAATGAAACAAAATTTTTGTTAACTATTAAGCTTATCAGAATCACACACTTACAATACAGTACATGATAACATTTATTGTTTAATCATCTTAAAGAGGCTGCTTAACCAACTAGCCACTTTAACACTAGTTCTGAACTCGAGTTTACTCTCTTATTTTTGTGCTCAGCAACCAGTTCTCAATCACGAACCACTCTTGACATCTTTGCCTAATTCCTCATCAGTCTTCTTTTGCAAGTTTCTCTCCTTGCAATCATGGAAATAGATCATGCAGACCACCCATTTCAGCGGATTCACCATGCAGAACAAGCCAACTTGTATCAAAATTTCACTTCCTTGTTCATAGCCTCCAATATGGAGGCACAAAAGCCTTAAAAGATGTCCCCAAGCAAAGAAAATCAGCATAAAAAAGAGCCCCCTTCTGCGACAGCCTCTGCTGAAATAAACTGAAAGTGCTAATGCATCAATACCATATATCCCCTCCAATATTGAGATCACAAGACTCATATTCCACACGGCACTCCATTCCAAATACATCCTCAAGATATTTGAAAATGCCATGCTGCAAATCACTGCAAATATCACATAGCAACTCAAGTCCTTCAAGAAAACATGGTAATTTAAAACTATCCACAGTAATCCAAGCTGGTGACTAGTTGTTAACAAGAGAACATAGATGGAAGTGAGAAATGAGCCTCTCAAGTTTGATGGGTCAAGGGATTTTTGAAACATGTCCTTGAGAGTCATTTTTTTCTCTTCTGAACGTAGCTTTGAAGCCAAATTTATAGTAACAACTGCAGAGCCAACCTCTAAGACATAGAGAGGCACCATGTAAATGAATCCAAGTTGAATCAACTTGAGGAAATAATCCATATTGAATCTGTCAAAAATGGAGTCATAATAATAATAATGAAAGTGAGCACGTGGTGGGTTAACAATATTAGAGGTTTCAAGAAGGGTTTCTTGGAGGTAAGTTTCAAAGTAAACCATGACACAAAAGAGAGGAAGAGAAGTGAAAAAGGTGAAGATGATGAAGTTGAGGTTTCTGAAATAGATTATAACAGCTTCCCTGAGGATATCAGATACCTCTAGCTTCTGCTTTTGCTTAACTTTATTGCTTTCATTCTCCATGTCTCTTCACTTCCAAGAACAATACTGAGGTTACTGACCCTTATAAGGTGAAGGTTAGCACTAAATGAAAATCCATAGACTAGTCTTATCTCTTGTTTCTCCATTATTAGAAGGAGAGTGTGGACTGGGGAGAAGACTTGACTTATCATGTTTGTTAGGTTAAAATTTAATAATTGATGTTTGACTTATTTTTTAGCATTCTTAAAAATCAATTTCACATTGACTAAAATTGATTTACAAAACAAAGTAAAAATGATTTTGGGTGTAAAATTTGTAAAATCTTTAAAAATATATTTATATTTATATTTGATAGTATTTCTGCTTTATTTACATCAATATTAATATTAATATCATCTTTATCCCAAAGTAGTCGGTGATCATTATTTCAATAAAATCTTCTAAATTCATTTTTAAAATGATTTTCTCAAATATAAATTTAATTTTTTTTAAATTTATTTCTTCAAAATTAATTAGAAGTGTGTAATTTTTTTTAAAAATTAATTATTTTGAATTCTGTAGTAATTTTAACTTAAAAGCTTATAAAAACACCACCAAGTTTTTCTTGTTTTGTTTCAAATAATAGATAAACTTATATTTTCATTGCCAAGTATCTACCTAGATAGATTTTTAGACCTTCAAGCTTCTGCCTGGTGCCGGTGTTTGCTTTTTTGGTTTGTGTACGTGTGGGCTGTGGGTGTTTATGTGTATATTTGTTTATAGGGAATTGTTTTTCTTATTTATAATGAGAGAAAAACAATCTCCTACACACGTGGCCAGTTCTTTACCGCTTTGTGCGCTGACCTGGGGTGAAGAATTAGTCTCATGATTATCGGCTGTAGGGATACCCGGATGTAATCCAAAAAAAAAAAACAATCTCCTACACACATATATGAAAAAAAGAGGAGAGAAAATAAAGGAGAGAGAGAAAATTTAAAGTGGGTCTCATATTCAATTTGTATCTAGTGCATGAGATAATTATCTCATATAAAATGAGATAATTATTTCCCTTCTTTATAACATGTTCCGATTACTGTAATTGCACAATTGTTAGTTGACAGTACTGCTAACCATGAACAATGATTAGCATGTGTATATGGAAAATAGAGCAAATGGTAAAAATAAATAAAATGAAACATTTTGAAATTAATAAATTAATAAAAAGGAAGCGTGGAAGATATTTAGGGGGGTTTAGTATAGGAGAAATTTTTTTTAACCAGGTAAATATAAATAGTGGAGAAATGGTTGTAAACAAAAATTAGTGGGAAAATTTTAAAAAAGTTGTTTGGTAGATCAAAATATTACCAGAAAATTAATTTAAATTTTTGAATTCCATGTTTGGTTGAAAGTAAAATATAGATGAAAAAATGGGTTGAAATTACAAAATTAACCTTTTTTATTTTTGAATATGATCAACCATTACCCAAAATGACAGTTTGTAAAAGACAACTTAATTGGTGTCATTGTTTCAACAATTTTTACTTTCTTGGAATCCAAATTACGTATTCAATTTTTACTTTCCCCCACCCTACCCCCAAGAATACGACCCTCATAATGGTTTTATGGAACAATGCAAAACAAGAAATTTTGCAAAGAAATGCTGGGGAAAGAATTTTGCTACCCAAATTTTTGTAACTTTTGTACCAAACTTAGGCAAATTGAAAATCCATTTCAAGTTGCCTAGGTATCTTTGCCAAAACCCCTTACCAAACACCCTTTAGGGGGCGTTTGGTTTCGGAATTTTTTTTGGAATAGTAGGAAAATGTAATAGATAGAGAAATGATTGGAAAGATAGATAAAGTGAGATAGGTAGAAAAATGTAAAAAAAGTAGTTTGGTAGGGAAAAACTTTACTGGGAAAATTAGGTAACTTTATGAAATCAACAGTGCATTAAAAGCCAGATAACCGGTTTTCTGAAAAATCCCACCTTCAAATTGGGTTTCTAAACAGTACGGATATCTATGTTTCTCATAAATTCAGACAAATTTGATAGATAGGTTTTTGGTGAAAATACGTTGAAACAAACATGGTGTTTCTAAAAGCCATACTTCAAAAACATAGATATCCGCTGAAAAGCTCCCAACCAAACACCACCTTAGGGATGTTTGGTAGAAATTGTTTTTTTAGGATTTCTGGGAAACTTATGGTGGTAATCATATTTACTCACGTTTGGTACAAGATTTCTAAATCTTTTTCGAAAATCCGATTTTTCCGGGATTTTATTTTATATGCAAAATTTTCTGAAAATACCACCTGATCCAGGGTGGTATTCTTGATTCTCATGGCAAAGAAAAATTTAATACAACTAAACATAACATTAAGAAAATTAACCCAATATTCTTGAGAATATTTTGCCTACCAAAAAACTCATTTTCCTACCATATTCATGGAAATCATTATTCCCGAATAAAAAAATATTCTCCTCTACCAAACACCTTAAATATTTGTTTTGTTTGGGGAATTAATTACGGTTAGGTTTTATGAATCAAAATCTGGCAGATGAATTGTAGCATGGGGACTGAGTGGTGGGAGAGGACCTCGATTCGAATCCCACTGTTGAGATATATAGTCTCACATGGATTGCATGGGCAACTAATGTGACCTTTATAAGGCCTTGGGCACTTCCACCCTTTGAGCTAGCTTTTGAGGTGGTGTATCCCAAGATTTTTTACATGGTATCAGAGCTTGAGTGACTATAAGGTCACAAGTTCGATCCTCACCGCCCCCCACTTTAAAGTGGAATTAAAATAAAAAGCACAAAAAGGTAAAACCAAAAATTGGGCTTGTGCAATATCCACACTTTTAGCCCAATGGGCTCTCGTGTGAGGGGGCGTGTTGAGATATATAGTCCCACATTGATTGCGTGGACAACTAATGTGGCCTTTATAAGGCCTTAGGCACTCTCACCCTTTGAGCTAGCTTTTAGAGTGGTGTATCCCAAGATTCTTTACACCCACCAACACCATCTGGAGAGGGGCATAAGTACCGTAATCTTTGGACTCGCACTCGAACTCTGGATTAGTCCCATAGGTGGCTCAAAGAGTCGAACCCAGAGGGGCATAAGTACCGTAATCTTTGGGCGCTCGCACTCGAACTCTGATTAGTCCCATAGGCAGCTCAAAGAGTCGAACCCATAAGAATACCAGGGGGTTCTGATTCGCCTCAAAGAGGTAATTAGGATCAGTTTCCAAAAAAAAAATCTGGCAAATGAATCGTAGGCTTTTCCGAGAATCTTGGATGGGGTAATTCACGAGGAATATTTCTTGGCTTCGAATTGGCCAGGGAATGGGATTTTAGAAGAATTTGGTTTGAAGATGACTCCAAATTACAGAGCTAGTGACTTATTATTTAACATGATCATATAATATTAAATGATCTTAATCATTCATAAATAAATCAATCGTTATTCTTCAATCACGTTCTATCTCAATATTTTATCTCTGCAAGTTAGAAACTTCCATCCGTACACAACATGATTGATTATTCAAAATAATTAGTTTTAAAAAAATTACATACTTCTAATTAATTTTGAAGAAATAAATTTTAAAAAATTAAATTTATATTTGAGAAAGTCATTTTAAAAATGAATTTAAAAGATTTTATTGAAACAATGATCACCGACTACTTTGGGATAAAGATGATATTAATGTAAATAAAGCAGAAATACTATCAATATTAATATTCATTGAGAACAAATTACCCCTTAATAGGAGAGAGTAGCGCCATTAGGTAGAGTAGACGATAAGAAATCTCATGAAGTTCCTATTTGAAACACCTGTTTCTAACTGCATGTTAGTCCGTGACCTGGAGGCCTCACGTCCAATGAAATTTAAAACATAAATCAAAATGAAAGACACCATGATTTAACTACTAGTTATTCCATAAAATGAAAGTACTTAAAAAACATAACTGACTGACCAGATCAGCATCAACAAAATATAATAGAGAAAACTATAGTGACATGCACGGTGCTAAATGTCATTGATTTGCAGTAAAGCAAAGCAAACTGGTAACTTCAACAACGCCACAAAAAAAAAATGGGGGGCGGTGGGGTGGAAGAGACACCGAATTCCTCAAAATCAACCATCCAATGCAATCAATACTGCCAATCAACTGGAGTTAATACACTTAATTAAGAGCGAGCGATAGTCAGCAAAACAAAATTGCAGACGGAAGATAAGTAGTGACCCAAAGATCCCAGTAGCTGATGATAACAGAGACACAAAATTCTATGCAAAAGCTAATCAGCCAAGTAGGGAAGCTGACAAAAATCGAAGGGCACGAAGTGGAGAATGGAAGACATTTGGCTTGTGCACGCTTAGTTTTAAATAGAATCGATCTTTCAGATCTCACATCTCATACATCATTTAAGTTCTTGTGTATCCATTACTGGATAATAGATGAATTGCCGTGGCAGAGTACCCCAAAAAGTGTCCAACACAACCTAGATGCTGTTCATTGCAGTCTCAAGCGCTTACCATGCGGACCACAGATGAAACAAGAAACATTCTAATCGAGATGCAGACATTTAGAAGCAGCAACCATCAATTTAACTACACAGAATGGTGAGAAGCAGACACTATATGCAGCTACTCACTAAACATGGCCCAATTTGACTCAATTTCATGAAGATGCAGCAAGTCAATAACTACATACTATCCATCCACCTTTAGACTTCTCCAATTCAAAAGGAGGATGCAACTGTAGCATTCTTTTCCTGAGTCAATAAAAAGGTCATACGCAACCAACTTGCAGACATTGCACTTTTAGTCAACTTATATGCAGAAGAAACAAGATGAGATGATTGTAGAGGCATGTAGCAGAGAAGCAGACAAGATGAAGTGGCGGAAGTAGAGGCATGATGTAGCAGAGAAGCAGACAAGATGCAGTAAGTGGTGAAACGATGCTGTTTTGGCCCATAATCACACCTCAAAACAAAGAAACATAAACATTTTAGGAACCTTTAATGCAAACATATAATATGTACCACAGTGGATTAGTAAGACTAAAAACAAACAATTAACATAACTTGCTATATGAACTGGGAAAGACTAAAGCAACCTTCAGGTTTCAGTAAGCTGAAGTGACAGCCGTCGCAAAAACAGTGTCCAACGCACCCTTTTGGCGGCCACAGCACTTTGCAAGTGCCATCAAAATCCATGTTCCTAACAAGACCCATTTTCATGACATCAACATACTTAACATGTCCGTGGTATGCTCAACCAATCCTAGAGGAACTACACTACAGCAGTGAGGCCTTCCTAACAATTATTGAGCATTGCCTTCAATCACATTCTGATTTTAATCTCTGCAAAAAAAGAAATCATAAAAATTTAAATTAACATGGGTAATAAGTTCTCATGTCATTCTTTAACTCAAATCAACAAAAACAACTGAGATGAACATAGTCAAACTTACCCATTGGCATAAGGTGAATCACGGCGAGAACGACGGTACGGAGGGGACCTGCTGTAGCTGCGACCACGGGGAGGTGTTATGCTACGTCGTCTTGGAGATCTTCTCCCACGAGGGCTATAACTCCTAAAAATGAAGTAAATCCAAAGGATGGATCGATATTAGGTGCCAGCTTTCATGAATCTTCTAAAACCCAAGAAGAAGACGTGAGAAGATACATAATTTAACAAAAGATTTGCTACTAGAAAGTGCCTTTTTTCTAAGACACTTATCATAATGCATACAGAAAATATAGACAACTACTAATGAAGATCATTTTGGCTGGCTGCCACACACATTCAGATATCTTCTCTAGTCACACAGACTGATGATTGTCACTCAGACTTATTTTAGCTTATAAATATCCTTCAGTCTGAATGCCAGAATAGACTAACAATACTACAGACTGATGAAAACCAGATTTCTCCAGGTGGAGAGAAAATTAAATTAACTAAATAATATGAAAAAATCGGTATAACTTCAAGGAGACAGGATACAAATACACATTTAAGAGAGCCTACAGTAAAGAAGGTGAACGAATCTACCATATTACCAAGGTATCAAAGGAAAGATAGGAAGTTCTGGTGCTACGAGTAAAAAAGGGTGGTTCTCTACATAATTTGCAAAACAAAGGCACCAAAGCTATAAAATCTCACAAGAACAGAGACCCAGCATAAGGAAAATTTAAAAATAAACAAGATATTTTGCATGTCATTTGACTCTTCAACAAGCAAGCTAGATTAGGCATGTTATGAGTCATGCAAACACTCCATAGACAAATCTCTGTACCCATATCATTGTTTTACATTGCCTAGCATGTGCAGAATTTCTGTCCCCAAAGATAAAGGCTTAGATACTAAAAAAAATATTTGAAATGCAGACTTTTTTAATTCATATATAGCATGTGCATATAACAAACACACCTGCCACCATACCCATAACTTGGACTTCTACGACGTCGATAAGGACTAGGACTTCGTCTCCTTCCACTACCTAGGCCCCTTGAACCAATGCGCAGGCGACACTCTCGAGCAAAGTGACCAGGTTCACCACATTCATAGCATTTAAGGTCCTCACCTCCACGTCCACGCCCACCACGGCCTCCACCACCCTTAGAATTATGAGACAGCTCTACCCGCCAGCCATTTTTTCCTATATGAAGTTCAAACATTAATACTCAACTAAAATATAGATGATGCAAAAAAGCACAGGAACAAATTCTTAACAAGGACAGTATACACAGGGATTGATAATTGCCAAATTGACAATGAATGAAAACTACTGACCGTCCAAGGCATGAATCGCATCAAGTGCATCCCTCCTATCATCAAACTCGATAAATGCATATCCCGGTGGTCTACGAGCAACCCAAACACTGCATTGGGCAATTTTATGATAATCAAACATTAAACAAAATATAGGACCCCTAACCAACCATACATAGAACACAAGAAATTATGAAACATGACTAGCACATACAAAATGATTCTAAACACCAATATCTCAACTATTCCATTTTTTAATCAAAAAATAGTCACGGATAAGACCCAGGACACATATAGAGCATATCACTGCCAATACACAAAAATATATGAACTCCCTGTCTCAAATTCAAGGCTGTCAAATAAAACACAGTGAACTTTACAAACAGAGAGATTTCGAGATTGAAATTAAGGGGAACAAAAAGAAAAGATCAACGATAAGAAATGAACAAGCTTTTTGGGGGATTTTTTTTCTTTTTTCTTTTGGTAAAAAGAAAACGAATTATTGGTAAAGAACCCCAATTTATGAATAATTGACTATTAATTTAAGTCAGCAATCAGTCACTCATTAACCACTATTTTAATATTGATTTTCACTATTCCTAAACTGAATTTTCTTTTTCAATTTTCGTGATTTACCCTAGAAAAAAAAGAATATTGAAGAGAATTTACCTCCGGAGAACACCGTACAAACGAAATTCATCTTCGAGATCCCTCTCAGAGACTCGAGGGTCCAAATTCCCGACATAAATCCGAGACATTTCCCCGATACCAGAATCACCCTATGAAAATTTCAGAAGAAAAAAAAAATCAAATCACCGATTATCTCAAAAATGAAAATAAATAAACAAGTAATCAACGGCAATTAGTTCGAGAATCGAGTGCCGAAGTGAACATAAACTGAAAACTTTGCATGGAAAACCACTTGGGAAAGAAAATTTAGGAAAAAACTTTGCGTTGATGAAAAATATAAGTAAAAAATGGGCGTGGATCGTTACAGTTACAGAGAGAAGGGTGTTTGGCGAGGAAGAGTGAGATGAGATCATCAGATCAAAGCTCACCTGAAAGTGAAAGAAATATCGATGATTCTTGATGAAACGGAAGGGAATTCGCAGAGCTCTAAAACCCTCAAACTGCTAACTTTTATCATTTGTTCTTACACAGTTACACTTCAACCATTGCGTTTTGGGCTGATGAGCCCTTAGAAAAGAAACGCTCCGGGCTCATGGCCCAAAAACGAAAGAAATTATATATTATATAGGGAATGATATTGTGACAACCAAGTTGTGTTACTACCAAGTGACTACCAATCAATCTCATCGTTAGATTGATTATGTTGATCCAAGGATTATATTTATTTCCATCTTTGTATGGTCATTATTCTCCATATTTAAAGTGAAAGCATTAAATATGGGAAATCATAATCATACAAAGGTGAAAATAAATATAAAGCGTTATATATGAAAAATAACTTTCTTCATTGCATTGCTCACCTGAGTAGTAAGGAACACTGACCAAAATGTCACTGTTCACCAACTTTTTTACCTAAATGCCACGCAAACAGTGTTATTTTCCAATATGCCACGGGGGCAAGTTCGCTACCCTAAGTAGCGAACTCGGTTTGCTGACGTGTCACATTTTTTGTGGATAACAAGTATCAAATTTTTTTTTAAAAAAAAATGAAGGTCGCCTGCCATGTAGGCGAACTTGGTTAAAATCAAGTTGGTGTCCACTAGAAACGTGACACGTCAGCAAACCGAGTTCGCTACACCGGGTAGCGAATTTGCCCCGTGGCAGATTGGGAAATAACACTGTCCGCGTGGCATTTAGGTAAAAAAGTTGGTGAACAGTGGCATTTTGGTCACTGTTCCGAGTAGTAAAGGTATTCACGGTTGGATCAGATCGGTTTTGAAAATAAGAATTATTCGATCCAATTCTTTCGATTTGATCATGTAATCATCCATTCAGTTTGGATTTTTTTTTCAAATCCGATCCGATCCAATCCAATTTTTTTCTGTTTGGATTGGATCGATTTTTGATTTTTTGAAAATTCTAAAATTTGTTTCATAATTATTGTGCAAATAACATCTTTTGTATATATTGGTTTTATAATTTTTTTTTTTTGAAATACAAAAAATCAGTAAACAATAATATAGTTTCTTTTTTTTGGGCAATGAGATATGAAGCTCTCTCTACACAGATGAAATTTTGTTGATGAGATGTGACTAGGTTTTTTCTTGGGTTTAGTTGATGAGTTAATGGATCTTGGGTTTAGAAATTTTTGGGCTATGCTTGGGGAAAGGCCCAAGTAGGTAGATGGGAATTAATATATTGGATCAGTTTGGATTGAATCGGTTTTCATCAACCAATCCGAAAATCGATCCAATCCACTTAATTTTTATTTTTTTTTTCGATTTTTGATTTTTCGGTTCAGTCACCGCGGTTTGAATCGGTTGATGAATACCTGAGTAGGTTTAACTTCTGAAAGTTATAGAACGATGGTAGCTCAGTGGTAGTTCAAGAGAGTTGAGTAAGTGAAAAGAAAAGGTCTCAGTTTAATCCTTATATGTCACATTTGGGAGTATTTAGATATCTTTATTCTTGACCCACCTCGCACTCTGTATTAGTCTCATAGTCGGTTCAAAGAATTGAAACTTGTGGGGATATCAGGGGAGCCAATTCGCCTTAAAGAGGTAATTATAGTTGGATTAACTCCAAAAAAAAAAAAACTTCTAGAAGTTACTATTGGGTTATAGGAAGAGCCTATGGTAGAGGAGATCTACTATCATATTGGCAAAACTATGTACTCTTCATAAGTGAGCTCAAATACTACTTTTCAACCTAAAACTATGTACTCTTCACTTAATATATTTTTAACTAATGTGGGACTTCACTAATCACACTTAAATTCTCATCATAACATTCTCCCTGTCAAGTGTAAGTTTCTTCGAATATCCCAAAGGTCAAGTACTCATCGTGCCTCCAACTAAACTCCTGATCGCTCTAATCGAACCATCTGCTCTGCACTGTTAGAAAAAATAGTGCGTCTTTTATGTTTCGGAAAAGGAGAAAAAAGAGATTACGAAAATGGATCATCTTATATGTTATTCAACATGATCATGTAATGTAAGAGAATCTTAACCATACAATGGTGATAATTTCATAACTACTTATTCCAATATATTTTCTCTCTCCTCCCTCATCACCATTGATTTACCTTTATATGGTTATGATTCGCCCATATAACATGATCATGTTAAATAACACATGAAAGGATCCACCCAGAGATGACACATAATAATTTTCAAAGTGGAAAATTTCCCCTAATGCAGTGGAGTAAAATCACATGACTTAGTCAAGAAAATCTTCTACTATAAGAATAATATGATTACAACAATTCTTCCGTTATCACTCACTAGAGGATTACACAATTTCTTCACCTTAAGAAGGATAGAATACACTCAGTTTATTCTTTGAAAATAGAGGGATACACAAAAGTCTTCACCCTCTCATATAATGGAATACAAAGGTTAACTCTCACAAGGAGGTATACTCTCTATCTCATCGAGGATTTCTTTGCATATGCCTCACGCAGAATTTCTTTGCCTCAACTTGTTGACCATTAAATGGTTGATGGGATTGTGTCTGTACCGAGCATTTGGAAATGATTGTAGTTAGCGTTCGTGTTTGTTAGCTTTCCAAGCCTATGGTGAGGTATTAATGAGTGGAGTCAAGCCTTGAAGTAACCCCATAAATACTAGAAGAAGCCTATGCTTAAGGGGAAGCGGATATGGGCCTAGGACACACATTTGAGAAGGATAATGTTAAGATTAGAATACAAGTGTGAGTAATGAAAGTCTCACATTGGTGAGAAATATGCTAAGTGATGACCATATAGGTGTAAGGACCCATAAACCTAATGCCTTAAGGTTTTAGGTTGAGATTTTATGCTAGATATTCGTAGCTTAGCCTATATGATAGTAGATCACCCCATACCATGGGCTCGTTGTTGCGACTTCGACAAGTGCACAAGTCATACAAGTAATAAAGTGTAACGAGTACGGGATCGTTCCCACGAGAATTATAATTTCAATCACTAATTCACTACTTCCGCTTAAGTTGGACAATCAATTATGAATTTTAATTTGGATTCGAAATTTATAAAACTAAATAAAGACAAGAACAAGAATGTAAAATTCGGATTGCTTGACAAATAAGAAAAGTAGCTATGGTTCAACTTCCTCCAATCTCCCATTTATGTTTTGAATTACCTCTTTCAGATTAAACGTCCTTAATATAAAGCCAATCGATTCGACTAATTTAATTAGGGTTCAATCCCTTGATGCCCTGAATCTTTATAATCTTGAAAGAATCATGGTTCTCCGATTAGTCCTCAAGAAATAAGCCTTACATTCAAAAATAATATGATTTCTTAAAACCCTATGTCTATCCCTAGCTACAGATAAAAACTTAGCCTAACATGGTAAAATCAAGAACAAAAGAAAAGGATAAATCTTCCCCAAACTCTATTGATATGATAGTATGGCGAGTCTTCAAGGCTTCCAGTGCAAACATGATTCAAACTCGTCTCCGGCTCTTAAGAACATGAACTACGTGCTTCTATGCTTCAAACTCAGCTTCAGCTCTCCAAAGATGCAATTCCCTTTAAAAGGTTGAAGAATCAAATAGGCCTAAGTTAGGTCATAACGGACGTTTAAGTGCGGACAAGCAAGCTTAAGCTCTCTTGGATGGTAATGAAGACTCGCCTTAGTGCGCTTAAGCTTCTTTGTAGCGAGCTTAAGCGCTCTCTTCGAAGAGAAACTTTAGTATGACAACGGAGTTAGCGCCCTATAGAGAGTTTAAGCTCTCTTTTCCAGAAGATTTTAACTTCTTCTGTGCGTTTTATGTGCTTAAGCTCGCAATGGGGAGCTTAAGCGTCATCTTCAAACGATGGACTTGCTTTTATTGTACTCTTTGTGACTTCTATGATCTTCAATTCCATGCTTCAAGTCTTTGAACTTCATTCTTGCTCCAATTTATGCTAATTTACCTTGAAAAAAAGGGGGAAAAAATCAATTGTTTAGTTCATATTTCAATAATTCATGCTTTTTCACTAATTAACCCTAATTCTCATGCATTTGACTAGATAATTCATATAATTTTAGCCCTTAAAATATGATAAACTAGAGGTTTATCAAATAATTTCCAGATTTGAAGATTGTTGTCCCTAGCAATTAACTAGAATAAAACTATGGAAAAAGAGACGAGTAATTGTGCTCAATGAACTATCACAGAAAACTGATTTGAATCAAGATATTGGAGTATTCAAACTTTGTGTACGAAAAACAACAATAATGCACCAACTCAAGCAAACATTCATAATTCACCAGTCATAAAATCATAACACGGGTTCTTAAGATTAAGAGTAAGAGAAATTAAATCTCTCACTAGGATCAATACTACCATATGCTTGGTTATATTCTCACTTTCCACAGTCTCGTTGATAGGGGTGTAAATGGGCCAGCGGCCTACAGCCTGACCTATGTTGGGCCTTGGCCTTAATGAATAATAGAGTGGGCTTCGACTTATAGGAGAGCCTTTTTAACAAATAGGTCATAGGCCAACTGTGTCAAGTCTTGCCTAAAGCCTTGTAGGTTGGCCTATTTAATTTTTTTTAAATAAAATAATATTTTTATTCTAGGTGGATAAGTACTTCAAACCCTAATTTCTTTTGTGCAGCACCGCTTCTTGATAACTTATATTTTATTACACTTATTTTTTACTCTTGATTAGTATTTTTAGGATTTATTTGATTAACATAATGATTTTTAGAGTTAATTTAGATTTTTAGTTTTTGATTGAGTTTAATTTATTTTCGTCAGAATATTTTAGCTTTATGTTACATCTGTATTTTGGCCATATCTCGGTCCACAGTTGTCAGATTGACTCCTTTCTTGTTGGGTTTTTCAGATAACGCAGAGGGCTACAATTCTTATGAAGAGCTCGAAGCCTAATTCGGACTGGAAGCTGGTCGCTTTTGGATGCCAAGTAGGACGCATTTTGCCGAAGTTTTATTTTATTAGTGGACTTGTAATTTAAATTAAAACTCAATTACTTAAGTGGCCCAAAGCCAAGTTTTAGTTTTATTTTATTTTATTTCATATTATAAACAGATGGACCGATCTGAGTTGAGCCGTAACCCGATTTGGGTAGGGGTATATGACGACAGAGTAGGAAACTTTTCATCATTCTGTAATTTTTGAATTTTGGGATCAAAGGATTTTCTCTAGAGCGTTCTTCGTGTTCTTCATCTTTTTCTTCTTCTTCTTTTTATTTTAATTTTTAATCATGTTTATCCTAGCCATGCTAAGCTAAAACCCTTTAATCAACCTAAGGGGAAGAAGGGATTCCATGGAACTGTCTAGAGGATTTGCGATCATTCTCTAACCAGATTTGTTTCTTTTTCCTAACTCAGATCGATAACGTGAGATTGTGGATATTCGTCCCGAGGTTCGCGATTGCGATTATGGAAAAAGAATGATCATCAGATTTGATGATCAGATTGTTCTCAATTGAAAATAAGGATTCTGATTCAATTGAGATTAATCGCGAATTTGGTAATTTTTATCTAAGAAACGACATCCTAGGAACCCTAACCTTAGGTTGGTTAATATTTAATTACGAATTTTTAATCCCAATTTTTATATTCTGTCTTTTGATAATTCAACCAAAATCCAAAACCCCCCTTTTTTATTTTCTGTTTTCATAAGCGATTTTTACCAAAACAATTTCCTTGAGAGACGACTTAAGGTTTCCACTTTACTGCAAATTTTCTGAACTTTAAATAAAATAATTTTTAATTTTCGCGAGTTCGACAGTTCGCGCCACTTCTCATTCAGTGACTTCTCTTTCTCAAGCTCGTTTCTCAGTTTCCTCTTTGCTCTTAGAACTTAACACCGGCAACCACCCTCATTCTCTTTGACGTGCTTGTAGCCGGCCATTTCCCATAAACTCTGTTTAGGTACGCTCTTTCTCTCTCTCTTTCTCCTAATCTTCTTCTTTCTCTCCCAAAAGCCCCACTTTTGTGATCTTCTTTATGGTACACAGAACTTGAAGAACCATCCATTTTCTATGTGCGTGCGAAATCAATGGAGTAACAAGGTTGAGTGTATACCTTCCAGCTGGAATTAAAAAGGGTGTGAATCCTCCTTCTCTCTGCTGTGGGTAAGAACTTTTCTTGTCTCTTCTATTTTTGGATTTTATGGTATAAGGATAAAAATTAAAAGGGGAGTGTTGCATGTAGGGGAGAGTGGTGTTCCGTGTGCATGTCTTATCGGTTATTGTTTGATGTACTTTACTAAAATCAATTTCAAAATTGTTTGTTGTGTGAAGAAATGAAAGTTGTCTGAAAGTATCGACTATCTGAAATTTTTCTGATGTGTTTATCCTTTCTCGTTCTTATTGGCTATCTGAAATTTTTCTGGTTTTATCCAATTTGTTTGCTGTCACTGTTGAGTTTGGTTTAAGCTAATTTTTTTTGTAGTATAACTTAAAGATGTCCTAAAAAAAAGGGAGCAAAACAATCATTTACCCAAAATTTGTAAAATTAATTCTTGATAAGGAGTGCAAACTAGAAAGGTATCCTTAGACTAGTTGTTGAATGCTGATGTATTAGCTTTAAAGTTCATGCATTTGTATGGATAAATATCAGATTGAAGTCATGTATGAAAGATATGAAAAAGATTGAGAACTTTTGAAATAAAATGGCTTATAAACAAAAGCTCTTTATAATAACACTTAATAATTTATTCCCTTAAGAGCATTCCCATGGAGACTGCACGGATCAACGACTTCAACAAACAAAGTAATTTGGATAACTGTAATTTGGGTTTCTAGTTTTAGTGTACATGTATATAAATCACATTCTTAATTGTCTCATTCATGGTGAATACTAAAAATATTTAATCATTTTGTGTTTGGGACAACATTGCTGAATACTAAAAGTATCATAATTTGCTTGCTTTACCAAAAAAATAATAATTATAATTTGCTTGTGAAATTATAATCTATTATAGTAAGTTAGTAAATTATATGTCTCATCTCTCATCAAGTGTGTGATTGTTTTGTTTTTTGTACCTTTTTTATAGGCATAGAAAATTGACTCTACTCCAAGTGCAAGTGGTAATGCTACTGTTAGCGTACCAAGTGACCCCAATCAACCTCAAGTAAGGGATGAACAACGAGAAGAAGTAACTGATTCTGCAGCTGCAGCAGATTCTGCAGTTGCTGCTGATAGTGAAAATTCAGTAATAGAAAAAAAAGGCGAAAAACATCAGCTGTTTCGAATGAGTTTCATGAAGTTACTCTCCCCAATGGTCAACGAAAAGCAGTTTGCATTATGTTGACTCTTTCTTGCCTGTCATTTTTTATTTCTTATGAGAAATGTAAGTGCATTATGAATGGAACATTTTCTGCTCGGTACAATTATTGTCTTTGCTCAGTATCCGCCTTGGGAGGCCTATAGGCCATATCAGACTTTTTAATTTTTAAGAATAGGCCAGACGTGGCTATAAACGAAGCCTTTAATAGGCTAATAGGCCAGATAAGCTCAACTTTTTTTACGTAGCTTAGGCCAGGAAGGCCAAAGCCTGGCCTAGCCTGACCTATTTACACCCCTACTCGTTGATATACACAATTGATCAAGAGGGCTTTCATCAAGGTTGTAACATGGCCTAGGCAGAGGGGAAGAAAATATCTGAGTAAGTGGCTTATAGGTCAAAAATCAAATTCAAAAAGGAACCGATATAATTGTTTAATACATGGCAAACATCTTCTTCTTATTTCAATTTCTCCCTTTTTTTCTTCTTTCACTTATTTTTGTAATATAAAAAATTTCTTTCCCTTAAGCAACTTTTCCTTTTCCTAATTTTTCTTTTAATTTCACTTCCTTTTTCTTTTTCAATACAGATACACATTTTGCCCTTTTCTTGTCATCTAATTATTCCACCTCCTTTTGGCTTTTGCCTCTTTCCACCTCTCTTTCCATACTCTAGAGTTTGATTATGTCAAAAAAAAAAATTCAACTATACTCAGCTCCTCATTTAAATTTGAATTTCAATCTAATTTTTGATGAGGATGTGTATGGAGTGGCTATTCATAATTTGGGTATCGTCGAACAAATAGACCTAGGCTCAAGGGGCTTAATCAAAGGATTAATACACAGGGTGGCTATTTGGCTATCTAGCTTTAAGAAAGAAATGCCTCTATCATTTCAAGAAGTATATACCACAGACCATTCCAAGTAAGAAACAAAACAAGTTCTAGAGTGATTCAAACAGTGAAGTGCACACACAAAAAAATCTGTTTAGGCTCAAAAGCTCACGGCAATGGGTGCAAAACTTATCTTCTACTTTTTATCCAAATCACTCTAGTTATTTTCCTAATATTCCAGTGAATTATTAAACTTGCTTGACTAGTGCTCATTCAATTGTGAAATTAGTATTCATATCATTATACTCCTGATCTAGAAAAATAATCAATTTCCTGTAAAAATAATCCATCTATGCATACATGTTGATCAAAAAGAAAAACTTTAAATTTCACCAAAAATTTAGTGATAATGGAGATGGGAACTCAAGACTTAACAATCTTTAATTTTCACCAAAAATTTAGTGATGATGGAGACAGGAACTCAAGATTTAACCATTCGGAAGACTTTAAAAAAATTAATTAAAATAAAATAAAAAAGAAAGAGAATTAAGAAAGTTCTCTGTCTAGTCGGATATTCTTTGTCTAGTCATGAATTTCTTCCGACCATTTGAAAGTTGATTTCTGATGGATCGCTTGGTACCCTTTCCCAGATTTAAATATGGATGTCCCAGCAATTAATTTAATTCTAAAAAGAAAATCCTAGAGAGCAGTTAGAATAATAATCGCACTCTGAAACGGATCACAGATCATGAAAAATACTGGTGAGAATATCAAAACATTCAAAAAAATGGCAAAGTCAATCTCAATGCACAACACATATCATCATGAAAACAAAATCAAGTGAAAAGAAAAGAAAACTAAAATTAAAGAACAAAAGTCTAAGCACTGAGACAATGGTCAATCCTCGTCCATGTCAATACTGTGTGAGAAGGGATGGAGAATTAAGGAAGATGGAAAAGAAAAGAATTTTAAAAATTTGATCTGATTAAGCGTGCTTAAGCGCTTTATAGGGCTCTTCAGCGCACTCTTCAAATTGTAAAACCTGACCTTTGAAGCATGCTTAAGCGCATAGATTGCGCGTTTCAGTGCGCTTTGACAAAGGCTAATTGCCATTTCTACTTCTTTTTCGCGCTTAAGCTCCCTTATACGCGCTTAAGCACTATCTTCGAAATGAAACTTAAATGAAGGGTACGAACTTTAGCAACATTTAAGCGCGTTTTGGCAGAGACTAAAAGTAATTTCCAGGTCAATCGAGAGCTTGAGCGCGCATGTTCTGTGTTTTATCTAATAAATTATTAATTCCTTTCCTCTTCTCTCTTGAGTGATTTATGGTAAGGGCAATTCTTTAAAATTATAATCCACAGTGTGTATTCAACTATAAGACTTATTCATGCAAGAATGATGTGCAAAAGATTTTAGATAATGAAAATTGCAACCTGTGCGCTTTACTCTTACCTTTACCTGTAAGGTTCCATCTCAAGAATATAATCATCAGTCTCAGTGCCTAATATTTTTGTGTTATGATGAACTTATCTACCTTGACCAGTATATCCTTAATGATGCCAAACGCTTGCTTTGTGGAAAGGTCATCTAGTTGCAAGACTGTCCTAGTTGGCTTTACTTCAGTGATACCCAACTTCTTTATCATTGACAATGGCATCACGTTGATGCTGGCATCGAGATCACATAGAACATTATCCACTTCCACCTTGCCTATGGTGCATGGAATGCTGAAGCTTCCTAGATCCTTGAGCATTTTAGGTAATTTGTTCTGGATAATGGCACTGCATTTCTCTGTTAGAGTAACCGCCTCACATTCCCGCAACTTACGCTTCATTGATAGTAGATCCTTCATGAACTTTGCATAGTTGGACATATTCTCCAAGGCTTCAGCAAAAGGAATGTTGATCTGCAACTTCTTGAAAATGTCTAGAAACTTTGATATTGTTGCTTCTGAATCTCTTGCTTTAATTTCTGAGAATAAGGAATTCGCACATATGGTGAGAGTTCTAATAGCTTTTCTTGAGCCTTCTTTTTCTCCCACTTAAATTGTTTCTTTTCAAATTTTTTAGGAATGCCCTTTTCAACTTCAATTATATCCTTTACTTTTTCTTTCTTCTCTTCTTCAACAATAGGTTCCTCATCATTTTTCTTTTTTTCATAATGCTTCTGTAGGCTGAATGAGTTTTCCACTCCTAGTAGTAATTGCATTGCAGTGCTCCCTTGGGTTGACCATGGTATCATCCGGAAAAGTGCCTTGAGCTCTCTCGAAAATATTCCTAGATAGTTGCCTAATATGAGTTTCAAGGTTCCCTATAGATGCCTCTTGATTTCTCATTGCGGCTTCCTGATTCTTGAATATTATTCTGGTTTCTTGCATGAAGGTAGTTGTTTCACGTTTGAAAGTTTTTTCACCTTGGATATAATCATTAGTTTTTTTTGGGAGTTGCATTAACGCTTTTTCCAACTTTAAATGATTACATTGCGGAGGTGGAGATGGTTGTGGTTTTTGCGGAGGCTGCAACTGATGAGATGATTTATAGTTAAAACCAGGGCGAGTTTTCCACCTTGGATTATAAGTATCACCGTAAGGATTGCTCTGGTTTCTCTGGGGATTGCCCTTATTGTTCTGATCATATTAGACTCCATTAACTTAAGTTGTCTCAATTCCCCAAGGGCACCACAGTTACTGCTATCATGTTCACCTCCACAATATTCACAAGCTGGCATTTGCGTCTGCACAACAGAGACTTGAAACTTTTCAAACATAATTATAAGATTTGCCAACTGTTGAGACATAACTTTTTGTTGAGCTAACGTGACATCATTGTTTTCTAATTGAAAAACCCCACTCATTGGCTGTGCCGGAATATTTCATTTTCGAAAGAAGCCCATAGACTCAAATAATTCCAATGCTTGAGTGGGAGTTTTCTGTCTCAATGGACCTCATATGTTGACATTGATAAACATTCGAGAAACAGGTGTTATTCCGTTGAATAACACACACACCTTTTGGCCCAGGCTGCAACTTATATTAAGGATATCTTCTCAACAAGTCCTTAAATCTTCCCCATGCAGAACAAAGAGATTCCTCTTCCTATTTGGTGAAATTTGTGATCTCGTTCATCAACTGATTATATTTGGTCATCGAAAAGAATTTATCTAAAAATTTGACCGTTAAATCATCCTAGGAGTTGATCAAGCCAACTCAGTGCCTTTTCTTTCAAAGAAAATTGCAATAGACGAATGACATCATCTGTTACTCCGTTCATCTTTATCGTGTCACAGATTAAAATAAATTTGTCAAGATGAAGGTGAATGTCTTCCTCATCACCACCTGTAAACTGATTTTACTGAACCAATGAGAGTAGTGTTCGTTTGATTTCAAAATTATTTGCAGTAACAGTTGGTTTGATAATGCTTGATGTGGTTCTAGGCATGCTCGGAGTGAGGAACGCATCCATTAACTCCTCTTGCAGAGGATTATTGTTGTTCGCCTAGTTTCTTCCTCTTGTATAACAGAACTTGGCGCTTCTTTTACTTGTTGTCTTCTCTCTTTTGCAATCTTTCTATTTCTTTTAGCAGTTTTCTCTATCTCTGAATCGAAGTGCAATGACTCAATATAAACCAGAAAATAGACTAATTAAATAAAAGCTAAATTAACAAAGTAGAATTTAAATAACAGAAAATAAGATCCAATCTAAAGAATCTATAGCTATTATTAAAGTTGAAGTATATAATCCCCAACAACGGCGCCAAAAAGTTGTTGCAACTTCGGCAAGTACACCGATCCTACAATTAATAAAGTGTAACGAGTACGGGATAGTTCCCACAAGGATTATATTTTCAATCACTAATTCACTACTTCCGCTTAAGTTGGACAATCAATTATTAATTTCAATTTAGATTTAAAATTTATAAAACTAAATAAAGACAAGAACAAGAATGTAAAATTCGAATGGCTTGACAGATAAGAAACATAGCTAGGGTTCAACTTCCCCCAATCTCCCCTTTATGTTTTGAATGAACTCTTTCAGATTAAACGTCCTTAATATAAAGCCAATCGATTCTACTCATTTAATTAGGGTTCAATCACTTGACACCATGAATCTTTATAATCTTGAAAGAACCCTAGTTCCCCGGTTATTCCTCAAGAAAATAAGCCTTACGTTCAAGAATCATACGATATCATGAAACCCTATGTCTATCCCTAGAATCATAAATATTACGATGAAATTATCATGTACGAATCATGTACCACCATTCCTATTGCTGTATATTTACCTTAGATCAATCTACAAGATTCACTCATAGAAGCATTAAGAAAAGATAACTTCATTCAAAATAAAAAGGAAGAGTAACATCAAGAATTCATTCAAAACATAAAAGATCAATTTAGTTCTATCTAACCCCAACTACAGATAAAAACTTAGCCTAACATGGTAGAATCAAGAACAAAAAAAATGATAAATCTTCCCCAAACTCCATTGATATGATATTATGTTAAGTCTTCAAGGCTTCCAGTGCAAATATCATTCAAACCAGTCTCTAACTCTCAAGAACATGAACTATGTGCTTCTATGCTTTAAACTATACTTCAGCTCTCCAAAAGTGATCCAAAGATGCAATTCCCTTTGCAATTTCCCTTTAAAAGATTGAAGAATTTGTGCCCTAGGTGAAAACCATCAAATGGGCCTTAGTTGGGTCGTAATGGGCGCTTAAGTGCAGATAAGCAAGCGTAAGCTCTCTTAGATGGTAAGGAAGACTCGTGTTAGCGCGCTTAAGCTTCCTTGTAGTGAGCTTAAGCGCTCTCTTGGAAGAGAAACTTTAGCATTGCGCGTTAGCGCCCTATATAGAGTTTAAGCTCTCTCTTTCAGAAGCTTTTAACTCTTTCTGTGCGTTTTATGCGCTTAAGCTCGCAATAGGGAGCTTAAGCGTCCTCTTCAAATGATGAACTTGCTTCTATTGTGTGCTTTGTGACTTCTATGATCTTCAATTCCATGCTCTAAGTCTTTGAACTTCATGTTGTGAGACAAGTGGCTTCAATACTCAAAAGGGAGGTAAATTGAGTTTTATAAAATCTTTACACAAAAAGCTTCCTTTGATATTTTAACGAATATTTCTACAAGTAAATGATTTAACAAGGAAAATCTAAGTGTAGGAACTAGTGTGTGATTAATAAAATAAGCTAGTGAATAAATAAATACAATTTAACAATGCAATTTCAAGACTAAAGTAAAGAGTTCAAGGTTAGAGAAATTGCAAACTAAATGTATCCTGGTTCGGTCACCACCATCGTGACCTACGTCCAGACTGAAGTCACTGATAAATCTTTTTACTAACTATCAAGCTTGAGGGTGCTTGACAAACCACTACAATCTTTCAAGACTTCAGGCTCTTGGTGCCTTACAATTTCCATTTCAAATTTTCTGAGGAATTTGGTAACCTCTCAAGTACAAAGGGTTCATTCCCCTCTCAATTCAAGAAATCAAATAGAGGTGTTTAATAGTGGGTAAGTACTCTCAAAGTACAGATTATACAAGTTGAAGAACTAATAGGTGTATAACTTTAAATGAAAGATGAGCAAAGTATGTAATCAATGAGCAATAATTAGTTAGAAGGAGTAATAATAGTTTTATAAATGATCTATGGTCGTCCACTATTCATTACTGTCGATGTAAGTATATATAATGACATCTTCAACAAAAACTAGCGTTTATAGTCGTTTATAATCGTTGGTGTTCGTACATATACGGATATTTCTCGGGCTAATATCTGGATATTGATATCCAGATATCATATCCGGGTATTGAAAATCCAATATCCGAATATTTCATGGCAACACCTTTTTTGCATGAAATCTGGAATTCTTTCCATTTAAAAAGGCTTCTATCACTTGGAACACATGTAATTGGGTATGGAAACTATTTCTAAGTGTTCAATTCATGTAAATACCTTTCCAAACAAATTTTGACATATTAAACGTTCATTTTGTCATTTTTCAATGCTTAGTGTTCAAGATGTATTCTTTCAAGTTCAAATAAAATTTCAAGATTGTGAACATATGTGTTTACATTGTACAAGATTGCTCATGTGCTGAAATTATGTTAAAAACCTTTTGATTCACTTTTGACTTATTAAACCAAGGTTTTTAAGCACTTTAAGATTATTCAATTATGGATAATACTTTTCTTATGTTACATAAGAGAAGTATTATCTCCTACACTCACATTTTTCAAATGGGTCTCACAAGAATTTTTTTCTGTCACCTCCAACTTTTTTCTCTCTCCTATTTATTGTTTGAGTAGGAGATAATACTTCTTTTATGCAACATAAGAAAAGTATTACCCTTCAATTATATGAATGACTTGAGCTCATGCAATGCTATATGTTATACACCTTTATATAACTTCCCTAAGTCCTAAATATGTATACCAATGAGATCTTGGACTTAGCTTCTTGCTTTGAGACTTGATGCTTGACTTTGCATTGCTTTCACATAGACTTGGATTCTTTTGGATGTTGCTTCTTTTAAAGCTCTTGAGTTTCTTTCTTTAAGTTAGTTTGTTATCATCAAAACTATGTTGACATGACATCATCAAGTGTATCAACCACATCATCACTTTGATTCTACACATGTTTGCTCCAATTTATACTAATTTACCTTCAAAACAAGCAAAAAAATTAATTATTTAGTTCATATTTGACCAAAAGTATCTTGACCCTTAACTACGAGAGCGTTGTAAATATTAGGCATCTTCCCCACTAATTAACCATAATTCTCATGCATTTGACTAGATAATTCATATAATTTTAGGCCTTAAAATATGATAAACTAGAGGTTTATCACTCACCCCGTGACCCAACAAGAACTTCAAACACATATTGATATTTACAAAAAAAATAGATAATAATATTTAAAAAAAATCATATCATGTCACATTAAATCGCGTAAAAGTCAATTATTGATATAAAATTAGTGAAAGTCAATTATTCATATATAAATAAACTGTTATTTTTTATTATTTTCATAAGATGGGCTATTATTACTTTATCTCAAAACACATTTTAATTGAAAATATGATTTGTAGCAAAGCTAAAAAATTTCCTTTAAATTTTATTATAATTATTAATTCTTTAATTTTTATGGAATAGCTATGAATTGTATTTTATAGCTTGAATATTTAAAAGGTGTAATAATATTATTGAAA